TTTTTAACCCTATTCATGTTGCCTTACATAGAAGGTCTTTGGGGGACCCCAAGAAAGAATATGTGCAAAATATTTGTTGGTATTCACCTTTATATCAAAGAGGACAGCAGTTTATAGTCCCGAACCATCAAACATATAGTATCCAATGAGATTCATTTGCTTGGCAGTTTCTCAATTATTCCGTTTGTGTGTGTTTTCTTTCACTTTCTGGGAAAATAACTGATAAGAAAAATGTTTTTCATAGATATATTTTATCTTTATATAACTACGTTGCTCATTTCTTCCATGTAAACTGGGTAGATGTGATAAAACAGAACACTGAGTGTACGGAAACACATTGTAAAGCCCGTATTTGTGTCAGCCGACCAGCCCAGATACCGAGAGCAAAGTAGCTCAGCGAACGTAGCTGTAATGTCGGTAAAACACACCGATAAGCCCATCTCATTTTTGTGCATTTGTCATGCGTAAATCCCACATCTTCTGTCATCTCATCCCCTTCGAACATTCTTCTTTTTCATTATCCCCGTTCTTCCCCTCCGTCTCCATTTCTGTAGGTGTGTGAGGGTAATTGGCTCTCTGTTTCTTTAATTAAAATGAGGTCTAATTGTAGCTGAAGCGGGGCAAATGTTCATAGGCCTATAATTTCCCTATCACACTCCAGAGCCACGGAGAAAGTGGAAAATAGGGAGGGACAGGGCATGCAGGGAAGGAATTAGCGTACAAGTCGAGAATAGTGAATGTTATTTAGAAAAAAAAAAGGATTCACATCAAATGAGTCCTGCTGCTGAATTCGAGGCCACTTGTTTTAAAACCTGAAAACAGCTGTGTTGAAAATGAGGTTGTTTTCTGTGTAGTTCCTCTTTGCAAAAAAAAATACAGGGTCAGGTTTTAGTTTTCAAAAGAAAGCCGTGTACAACACCCTCTATTGTTGTCTCCCCTCCATACAGAAAACCTGATACCTCCACCTTAATAAGTTTCGCCTGTGTTGTTTCTCATACATGCTTTATAAAGTAGAAGCTGCACCACGCTAATACTGATATCTCAGCCCACCTACTTCAGACCCACCTCTCAGTTTCTTAAGAAAAATTGGCTCCGGCCTACTTGTAATCTTCCTCCATAATCATAACTCCGAGGCTCAGCTTCAGTCGTCTTGCCAGTATCAGTTTAGACTTCTCTGGTGTCTCCTAATGTAGACAATTGTCCTGCAATTACTGTACAGTTGTTTGTTTTGGGTGTTAAATGCGGCCAGATGACGAATTTTCATTGTTCTTACATTTTTCTAGCACTCGGGGCAATTTTCCGGCGGTGGGTGGCCGCCGCTCCACAAAGAATGTAGGGGAAAAGCCGGCTTCCTCTAACGGGGCTTAAGACTGTATCTACTTGAGCGAAAGGCAAGGCCGTGCAGGCACATAATAGACGCACTCACCATCTCATAGAAACACTCACGCTCACGCATCCTGTCTCATAAACCTTAATGATAGGGCAGCGATAAACAGTGATTACCATGCCTCGGGGGGTGGGGTGTTTCTTTTCCACTCCTTCAAAAGTTAAAAAAAAAATGTTTAAAAAAAAAAAAAATCTGAATATGAACACAGGCAGGTGTGCATATTAAAAGGCGGAGACGGGGCCAGTGTGCACGGTGAAGCCTCGCCGCGATGAAAGTGTTTTTCAAATTATGCCGGAGTGAACTCAAGGTAGACTAAATGCGGGGGGAAAGCACCGGCCTGAACTTTGTCACCCAATTATCCTCCTCATCCACCTCTCTCCTGTTTTTCTCTGCTCTCTGCAGACTTTTCTTTTTTTTCTCTCTCTCCTCTTTATCGCCTCAGATTGTTGCTATAAGGTTGGTGGGCTTCTGCGGTTTTGAAGTGAAAGAGGTTGGAAAGCTGTTTTGTGTTCTCACCTGGAGAGCAAAATGAGAGAAAGCGGGAGAAGTCATTGATTAGAGTCGCATGTATCGCGTACCTCTCGGTGTGACGCAGTGACAGACCTGCTGCATATGCAGCCCTGCTGATTAGTGATTCCATGTCACCGCTTTTTATATGCATTGTGCCTGAACCAGGTCACCCAGATGACGGGAACGAGGAAATGACACTGAGGTGGAACGCGGCGAGAAAGATTTAAGCCTGTAGTGAGAGAGGAGGATGAATTCTATGTTTGTATTAAATTAGGAGCGAGAATGTGAGCAGCGGTGGGCGTGATTGAATGATCATGAAAGTCATGATTGAAAAAAACAAAGAGTCGGATATTTATAGACGACGCTATACATAAGAAACTCTTCCTGTTAATTATTTTCTATCAAAATGCACTTGTGTTGCAGTTACAGGGATTATTTTAAGCACAGATGAGTGGGATATACGTGTTTAATACCGTAATTAAGCTATCAAATCAATCTGCAGTATGTCTTTGTCTGTATTCTTACCGAAATTGAGACTCATGATCAACTTTGATACTGCTGTGTTATCCTCTTAATTCATCCCATTAATATTTATGAGCAGAAACCGGGAAGTAGGGTAATTCATTAAAACAGTGAAGGAAATGGAAAAAAGCTGGCTGAATCACCATCATTAGGCACAATAGAACAACAGAGATTTACATGCGGAGGATCCAAGTGTCCCTTCATGTTTGTGTTGAGTTCAGCTATTGGAAGGCCTCGAGACTTTACAATCCACAAACGACAATATCCGATCTTTGACACACAATTAAGCGTTGATCAGCGGCGTCGGTCTCTCGGCTGTAACATTCGTCGCAGTAGGAAGTCAGGAAAAGTCCGTTTCTGTTTAATCTGGGATTTTTTTATTTGTTCGTTTCCCTGCCTTCATGTGTGTTTCATTGGAATGTGGGCTGGTAAGTGGTAAATGTGATTGCGTCTCACTTCACACGGGATCACAGAGATTAGTAACTGTAGGCGTTGCAGTTTATTTTTATAAAATACTACAAGTGTTGGTGTTGAGCAGTGTTGTGTAAAATATATTCAAAGAGCACCAGGCGTCCCTGACAGCATTCATGTCCTCATAATGTTCTGTGTAAAAGGTTTCCCCAAACATCCTCTTATCCTGTACACAGCCCTCCACAGGCAACTCAGTATAATCACTGGGATTTGCATTATTATTATTACTGGAAATGAAAGTAACTGAGAAAGTCGGGCTGGGAAATCTCATTTATCACGCTGACACTGGTAGTCGTCAATTTATTGGAGTTGGCATGAAAAAATATACTAGGTGTAAGTTGTTTTCTCTGCTTTTGGGCTGAAAATGATTTGTTGTTGAGTAAGTCATCATGTTTTTAGTAAATACGCAGCGCAATATACATCCTGGAGCTCGTGGTGATACTTTGACATTGTTGCGCATACTGGAAATTTTTACATTTAAGAAGCTGGAATCGAATAATGTTGGGTATTTTTTCTTGAAATATGAATTCAACTAAATAACTTATCATCAAAACTATTGGCTATTTGTTTCATGTCAGTCAATCGGTACAAAGCTGATCATTTCACCACTAAAGTTCAACATTTCTAGTCCTGGAAGAAGAAAATAACTAGATAATAACTTAAAATTTAATGTCTAATAAATAAAATGAAATCATTGGATATTAACAAATGCTTGAATCCTTTATTAAACCAATACAAGGAGAATAATTGAAGAACCACTGGTTTGTCCAGACTACAGATTTAGATTAAGGCACTTGGAATCGTCCAGGTTTCGGAGTGAGACATCATTTATTTTTACGAATGTACGAATCAACCGTCCTGCCGTTTGTCAGTTACAGTTAAATGAAGCAGCAAGAATACAAGGCACTGCGTTCCTATGTTATTAAATTTTCAATTTTCTTTTTAAGTATGGATTTGAGCGCATTTTACGCCGCTATTTATTTTTTATGTGAAGCGCCGCTAAAAATCAATCAACGTGATGGAAAAACGGCAGCTTAAACAAACCTGTGGAAGTCAAAAACTGGGAGAGAATGAATCAATGAAACTGGGGAAATATATGTGTTTATTAATACGGAGGCACATGTAGTGTGTTTGTTTGTTTGTGTGTGGAGTGTGTATTGTGGGGTTATGAGATGCTGACTTAACTGTCGAACCTTATATTGCTAGCTTAATTCAACAAAGCACCTTAATAACCCCCAATGATAAACCCACACTGAAACCCCCATTTCCTCCAGCATCCATTTCCATGCGATTGCTCTCCTTGATCGTGGCCACATTAAATCTTGTTTATTGGTAAAAACCAAACTGCCCGGCCCTTGAGATGAGCTTCTGTGTGGAGCAGGTAGACCTTTAAAAGCCGCTCTTTGACAGATACCTCATCCCATCAGTATAAATATGAGTCACAGTCTGCTCAGACAGCTAAGGGAAGAAAAACAATGTCCTCACACGAAAAGAAGTCCCTTCACCCGAACCAAACTGTGCTCGGAGTTACATGCAGTTCAGGTCTGTGATTTTATTGGGATACTGAATCATAGCAGAACTGCTCGGATTGTTTGTGAGCTGGCAGTCTGCCCCTCAAAAGATTACAAAAAATCAATTCTATTGTAATCACAGATCGTGACCAGAAGGGCTTAAATCTCAGTATGTATGTGTGTGTGTGTGTGTGTCGCTACAAGTCTGGTCGATGCTGCTGTTCTGACTGCTTGTCCCTGCTCTCCCTTGACAAAAGCAGACTCTTTTCAGCAGGTTTAGTGTGACCACAGGCATGGTGTGTTGCTGGGAACAGAGGGGACATGGGGGAATAAAAACAAACATGAGAGGAAAGACAATTTTAGGGTAGTGGGAATGTTCCTGTAGATGTAATTGACTGGTGAAACTCCATCTTCTCCCCTAATCCCAGTCTAAGCCATAGCTGATACTTGGCAGAGCGCTGGGGACTCGAAATATGTTCACTCTGTGGTTTTAAATTCATTTGTGTGTTTCTCTGAATGTAAATGAGTCTCGTACGTGTCGTTTTTTACATTTCCTGCTGCGACTGACATTATATTTTCCATCTTTTTTTTTTTCACAGAGGTCCTGATGAACACTAAGACGGAGACTTCGGATCTCAAATGGACCATCTTCTCGCGTGCCAAACCCGAGGTATGTAACCCGAGCTTCACTGTGTTATCTGTATTCCTAACAGAGGCCTGGTGGTGACTGGGGATTTTTGGCTTCCAGCTGTTCCTTTGTTACTTTGGCTATAAAGGAATTCCTTATATGGCAGGTAACTGACAGAATAAAGGAAACGCCAGAGTGAATGTGGGATTTAAAGTATATTGAAAGCAGATGCTTTGATATATCCCATCAACCTTGGAGTCGAAGTCACTGGCTGCCCACAATTTTGGATACTGCAGCCAGAAAAAGACATATTTGTAATTTGATCAGCTGAGGAGTGGTTGCTAGGGTATTTTTGCCAGCAGTGTCAGTGACCAAAACTGCTCAACTTGCCGATGTCTCAGAAGGAAAATGGTCACAGTGATGCTGGCAGGGAAATTTCTGGAACTGGGCAGAAATACTCAACAAATGTGTCTGCTTTTGATTAGTATGCAAAGCGAAAGAGTCTCCAAATAGTCTCTAAATAGTTTTCACAGCTATTATCATTTGAAGCAGTTTATCAAAAGCTTCGTGTTGCCAAAAATGTGGCTGGGTTGTGTTTTTTTTTCTTTTTTTGTCTTTAACTTTGCACAAAAGGGAATAAAACAGTGATTGAGTCGGTGGTGACAGGCAGCAGTGACGAGATGCCAAGAGCTGTCAAATAACGCAGACATAAAAGGGTCACTATATAGTATAGAGTAGATACTTGTGGCAACTTCCAGCCTGCTCAGTTATAATTTTCTGGCTTCTCAATTACAGGCCTTATCTTTTCCATGTGTTTTGGCATTTTGTTCACTTGCAAATGTAGTTTGAGATCACTCAAAACCGACTCCTGCCAAGGTGAAGATGGTCAGAAACTCTGTTTGCAATGTCGACATGTGGAGTGTATCTGCTTTATTTACACGAGGCGAGTTTGTGCAATGGTGGATGTTGCCAAAATAGTGCCGGTATTAACCTTGCTAACTGTAGTCTTTTACTTGTTGATACAAAAACATAGAGTTACTTTTCCACTATACACGAGCAAAGGCGTCAGAATCAGTCCACACATAGGGACCCCTCCTTCTCGGCGCCTGCCAGAAATAGGAAGCGCTTTTTCAGGTTTCTGATTGGGCAACATGGTTTCAGGGTTGAAGTTGGGTTCCAGTTGGTTTGGTCTGTTCTACAGTTGTGTCGTTTGATTTTCAAAAATACTTAAGTGCCAGTTGTTGCATTAATCATTCATAAGGAGGCAAAATAAAACTAGTATTCATGTTAACCCAACCTACGTATGTGTGCCGAATTCCGTAGCTCTAAGTGAAACGTAGCCCTGATGTGACTCTGTTGAAATATTGTAGGGGGCGCCGTTGAGCCATGTCGCATTTTAGAACTTGACACTGGTCGACTTTTTTTGTTCGTCCTCTATTTGCCGACCAAATTTCGTAGCTCAAGGCCAAACAGGCTTGTGATGGGACTCCGTTGAAATTTTGCCATTTTGGCATTGACATGTTCAGTTACTTTAAAATATCACATTTTTTGCCAGTCCTGGTGTGTGTGATGATTTTGATAAGTTTTCGTGCATGTTTAGTCCCTCTAATTTGCGATTTTAAAGTCAGGCAAATAATAATAACAATCCCAGCAGTTCCAATAGGGTCCAAGCACGACAGTGACCATAATTATTGGATTTTTAACTCTCCTACAGTTTTCAGTTTTTGAATTTATCATCTGTTGGGAAAATGCACCAAATCTAAGCCTAAATGAAATCATGATATTTCACGAGAATCACTCTATTGTACATGTCTAATTTATAAATTTGTCAAAAATAAAACATTTGTACTAAGTAGACCCTGTTCAAAACAAATCTGCTTTCCTCAGCACAACTGACAAATCATGACTGACAAGTTATGAGACAAGTGTGGACATGAATTAGAGAGATTGAGGGCAAAATAAAATATATGCAGCAGAGTTCAAAAATGGTACACAGAGCAGAAAGTTGTTAGAAGATACATGCAGCACAGTGACATATAGAGTTTATGTGCAGAGTCGTATGAAAAACGTCTCATTTGTATCAGCAACATAAAGATTAATGGTAATAGTATGTAAAGATGCCACATTAGTAGCATGTACATGTTGATTTAAGATTTTCTCTTTTTTTTGTTTAATAAATAATCAAAGAAATTAAACTACATTTTTTATTTTTATGATCTATTTTGACTTAGTTATACTGCACAAAAGACATGTTTGAGTTGCCTCTACTTCTAGCTGAGATTGTGCTGTTTCCATTGAGGTGCAGGACATTTTATTGCAGTGAAAAATGAGCCCACAGTGAATGAGTATGTGACAGGAGCCAAAAATTGGCAAGAAACTGCTTCTTGGGGTTCAGAGGGTTAAACCTCCGATGTAATAACGAACAGCTGTGGCCAGTTTCCAGCAGTAATAACACAGGATTTAGCCGGTTATGTGTGTTAGCTCAGGTTGAATGTATATGTCTGTGTCAAACACAGCTTTTGTGTGAAAGCTCCTCGCTCAAACCTCAAACATGCTTTGTGTGGAAAGGAATGTCTAACATGGCCCCGAAACCTAATCTTCTGGTGTCGGATTAATTATGTAGCTTCCTAAAATGGGATCGGCCCTCCAGGAATCCAAAACAACAAAACCAATCAATACTTCTAACTAAAGCCAGTAAGCAATGTGTAATTTAGGACATTTTTTTAAGTAGCACGACATATATGGAAGTGTCCCATTTAAAGTAAATCAACTACATCTGTACACTTGTTGTTCATTCAGATTTTCTTTCACAACAAACATTTATTTGAATGATTTTTGTCCAACCCAGACGAGTCCCGTGGGAAATTTTGTGCATCTTCATCACAGAAAACATTTTGTTTCACAGACACGTGTGCTGCCAAAGTCCACAGTATATATTTTCCTGGGATTAGAAGGGAAATTCTCCCTTCCAGAGATTCAAACGTGTCTCTCATTGCTCTGCTGCACCATAATTCAGTCAGACCAGTATTCTGCCTCACTCAACACATCATCTGCAAATGGATTTTTAAAGATTTACATATTTACATAACTGAATTTCTGAGCCTCAAGTTCAGCAAATCTGCTAAATTCTGCCCCGAGTATGTTAATTTCTTGCTTGTTTCCCGCTCTTGGGAACATAGTGATGGTGAACGTGTTTGCTGTTGACTCAGAAGTCAAACATTAAAGCAGTTTTCAGTTGCATTTGGCTCCCCAACAAATGTAGATTTGTTTGGAGGGTTTATACTTCAGAACATATCTGTGATAGCCCCTCTGTATTCTTGTATTTTCTTCTATAAGTGTGTTTGAGGGGTAAAAGCTGTGTCTGTCTTGGATGCTGTGTGCCGTCGTGTGCTTTGTTTGACAAGTGAGACTTGTATTCCCACTAGCTGTGCTGCAGCTCAGTGGGAGGAATGATTTAACAACCCAGATTCAAATTTGGACTGGATCAAAATTCACAGCAGGGCAGGTCTGTCCCACGAGTCTGTGACAGGTGCAGTACAGCAGAGGGCCAACAGAGACATGCAACATTATTTTGATTAATCAGACCGCTAACGTTACTGATGACACCCAAGCGAAAGTCTTTTATAGGTGAAGGAAATCTGCTCGGTGTCCCAAGTTTTCTGGGTCAGATGTCATTTTAAGGTGCAGTCTGACAACGTCTTTGTTCTCTTTATCTCAGTGGGAGGAAGAAAGCGGCTTAGACGAGGAGAACAACAGCGTGAGGATCTATCTGATCTGCCAGATGAACAGTTCATCCAGCAACTGGCTACGTAGCGGCTTCATCCCGCGACGGGGAGCGTCTTACGTTTACGTGGAGCTGCGATTCACCATGATGGAGTGTTCGTCCAGGAGCACGCACCACCGCAGCTGTAAGGAGACCTTCAACCTTTACTACTACCAGGCAGACTCCAACGAGGCCACGGCTACGTACCCGCCCTGGATGGAGAACCCCTACGTCAAGGTATGTCTATGGAATTTCCTGTTATTATTATTTAAGGGCTCTTTGAAGAGATCAATTTTCTTATCACGGTTGGTACCACTGTGCTGTGTAACGTCTTCCTTGGCTCGGGAGGAAGCTTTTTCATATCCATCGACACAATTAACTGCAGGGCCTTTTCTTGATTATCGAAAATATGCCTATTATTTTCACCATCGATCAATTGAGCCAATGGGTCATGACTTTAATTGGCTTGTTTTGTCCGACTTACAGTCCAGAATGTAAAGATTTTCAATTGGTAGTTGTGAATGACAAAGAAAACAGAAAACCTTTATGTTTGGGAAGCGAGAAATTTTTTTGGCATTTATGTGTTAAATGATAGTTTTCTGTCACAATGACAGAACAACAATGAGTTTAAAAGTTTGATTTTTAACACCTGTGTATAAACTGAAGGTTACCAGGCAGGAAGAGCCTTACAAAAACAAGTTATTAAACTGCAAACCGCAACGTGTAGCGTTACCCTCGCTGCAGAATAACAGCCCTTGTTTGAGGCGGGCAGATCATAATATAGGTTGCTCACTAATTGACCCCTGACCCCTCCACATACCAAAATGTTCTTGCAAGACGCTAAGCCTTAAGTTGCACACCAGCTCCATTGATGTGTGAGCGAGTGTGTGTGAATGAAAAACACATTGTAAAGCAATTTGTAGAACCTAGCTAAGGTTGAAAGGTGCTACATAAGGGCGGATCATTTTCTATTTTCAGACGTGGAATATGGAACACTGCAGGCTTCATCTATAGGTTACAATGACAGCATTCTCTCATTCCCACATGGGCAACTTTTGCATTAAACCTCTTTATTCAGATTTACTTACAACCATGACAAAGAGAGTACATGTGCAGTATTTGACATATCCAGGGTTGGACAGTAAATCAGAGTTGAAAGCTCTACTAATAAACAAAAGGCTAAATCCACAACTCTTAGCAAGCTTATCAACATGGAGGCAGGATCGGTCTAACAGCCAGACAGCATGACACTGTACTTCTTTTGACTTCTGACAGGTGAGCTGTCACACGCAAAGTTTATAAGCTGCAGTTAGACAGATCGTCCTCAGATTGAGTCCTGCGCTCCATCACTGCTGTCAGGTTATGATTTTTACTGAGAGCCTGATCCGTTTACCACAGTCCAAATATTTTTCTTTCATATCAGGCTTTCTTATGAGAGAGTTTTTGGTTTCACGGTCTCACAGCAGGGTATTTGGAATAGTAGCCTAATTATTGTCCACATGGATGCGTTCCAAGCGCTATGTATAGGACGTGACATTCACACTACTGAACTACTAAAACCGTGTTCCTTGTCGAGTATTTGAGCCTATCTGTGCCGTTCAAACTGCATGCAGTCTAGAGTTGTGATGTTTTAAAAGTGATGTGTAAAGGTTACCATGTTCCACCCTGTAGCGCTGCCATTGCAACTTTTATGGGAAAGTGATCATTCAGACATGAAGCCGACGCCCCGTTAGATTAACCCTACTCAGGATTTTCATGTTGGACCCCAAGAAAGAACATATGTGCAGAATATTTGTTGGTATTCAACATAATATAATATGTTAAATAAATTTCCTGATAAGTTGACGTATTTTTGGTTCCAAATGCCTGACAAATGTCCTTCTTTTTATATTTAAAAAAAAAATCTTCAAACATTAAAAACAATACCTGTCACCTAAACCAAATGGCCTGGATTCCAAAAGACCCCGAAAGTCCTGAGTAGGGTTAAATGGAAACAAGTGTCTGAATGGAGCCTAAAAGGCAGGATAACACTCTATTGCATTGAATTTGGTGGGATACTGCTTTAACTGTTTTACCATCACAAACGGGAAGAAAGCTTTCCAGAACACTGTGAACAAAAGTTCATCGGAGGTTCCATTAATCAGGAGAGCTCTCGTCCCTCTTGTTGTTTTTCACCCTGATCTATGTGTACTGTACAATAAGTGCTTGTTGATAGTTTTCCAAAGCACACAAGTTTCTGAAAGATTTCTTTAATTCCAACAGACATCAGTAAATAAAATCAGTTTGCAGGAACTAAAAAGTTTATTTAGTTACGTAATTTATTAGCGTTCACATTTGCTCCCCTTTTATCGCTTGAACTTTCAGAGCTTTAATTGAGTCATGGGAGCAAGGACTTTTTTAATAACTCCGCTCGCCTGCACATTCAATCTGGTTCACAACCTGCATGTTTTCTTAACATTTATCTTCTGGGTTTTATTTCCCAAACACGTAGCTTATGAACGCAGCCTCCTTCGGCATCTAATGTCAAACCTCTAATTGTGGCTGCGTCCTTCAACACAACACCAAGTGGCGACAGAATAGTTCCTGCTCCTCAACTTCATTCCCACCTAATAATGTAACTTTGACAGAAAAATAAAAGTGATGAAATGTTCGCTGTGATAAATTACCTTTCTCTGCAGCAAGTTTCAAGTCCCTGCAAGTTGAGGTTCAAAGCGTACTGTAACAAATGGGAAACAATGGCTGCCAGGAAGGTAGTGAATCAATCTAAAAAAAAAAAAAAAAAAAAGAAATCACAGTGGTGTGGTTTAGAAAATGTTCAATAATGCAAAGCACATGTGATGTCGAGTTAATGGGCTGAAATGGCTAAAACATGCAAAACTGCCAGTCTGGTTGTTCTTAAAACTGAATCCTGCGTGCTGGAATCCGGCCATTACTTGAGATCCTTTCTCTTTCTTCCTGTCTTAGGTGGACACAGTGGCTGCAGACTTTCTACTAACAAAGGAAAGGGAGAGGAAATTCAATGTGAAGACCTTAAGAATTGGCCCTCTATCCAAGAGAGGCTTCTACTTGGCTTTTCAAGCTCAGGGCGCCTGCATGGCCCTGCTGTCTGTCAGAGTGTTCTTCAAAAAGTGTCCACCCCTTGTCAGCGCTTTGTCCTCTTTCCCCGAGACCGTTCCCCGTACTCTAGTGCAGGAGGCCCAGGGCGTATGCGTGGACCACGCCGCCCAGCAGGGGCCCAGACCACGGCCGCCAAAGCTCTTCTGCGGGGAAGACGGCCAGTGGGTGGGCCAGCCGACGACCTCCTGCGCCTGCCTGCCTGGGTACGAGCCGGCCGAGGGACACACGAGATGCATAGGTAAGACGCAGGCGAGGTTAAACTGCACGTAAACAGATATGTATGTATGTAGACTACACCCACATAGGCAGCAGCGGAGGCAGACTAAACAAGAAAACAATGGTAAGCTGAGGGTGGGGTGGGGGGTTCACCGAGGGTTGGAGAGGAAATGAGAGACCGAGGAAGTTAATGAGGCAGGGGAGCGGCGGTGACACAGAGGGGACGGAGAGAGAGGTCAGGTGGAGCAGCACTTATCTCCGAAAGGAAGAGCGGGGTCAAAGGCTCGCTGCTGCGACGACTCATGGCTGAGCTGAGATAGAGGGGGAGCGCAGGAGGACCGGAGAGGTGAAGGGGAGCGCAGGAGAGGGGGGGAGAGGCGGCATTCTGGGTAAAGATCATATCACTTTGAGAACATCAAAGCAAAGCAGGCTAAAAAAGAAGGAAGAAACAGGAAGATTCTCTCAGGAGCAGTGCAGCAGCTCCGTCTAATGAGTCCAATTAGCATGCCTCGTGCATGAACACACACACACCCCCCTCCGCACACCGCATCGCAGCAACACAGATAAACGTCGAGCCCTAAAAACAAAGAAACACGAGAAGAAAATGCCACGTTTTCCCAAGTAAAATGCGCGGTTTCATGTGTCTGTGTTTGAAGGTAGGCTTCAGTTTGATCTCTGTGGGAGGTATAATGATTTTTTCCTAACAAAAAATAATTTCCGACATTTTTTTTTGCTGCCGGTGGAGTGGCATTTCCAGAGTTGTGTCACTGAAGAGAGCTGTGAGGGGGGGAAAAAACACTCAGTAGGCCATAAAGGGAAATTGCCTTCATAGAAAGATTGGACAGTTAATTTGCTTCGTAGGCCGGTCATTTCAGAAAATGAAATCGACATCTAGGTTTAAAATTAAATTCATTTTTGCTGTAATACCATTATCTCCCAGAGACAATACGTATATTTTCTGGGTCAAACACAACCGTCTGACACCAAACTTATGAAGGCTGTCGAGTTGATTTAGTGTTTCAGATGAGCTTGATTAGAATATTTCAACCACCTCTAGCGGGCTATAAATACTGCTGCATGGGAGGGGTATGTTTCCCTATGTGCTGGTAGCGCTTTACTAATATGTAATACCAGCAAATATGACTCCCTAAATAGATCAGAGATGGACGCCCTTCTGTCCCGGAAAGTATGAATTCTTATTATTTTATCATCATTGTTTATCTGAGGGTCCATTTTGGTCAGAAATAAAGCTCAAAAATCAGAATACCAGGACAAAACTTATGACTTTTTAGTGTGGTTCAACCTTCCTCCAGTTAAAAACACTGCTTTGTGCTCAATAGTGACTTCTGCTGTAAATCCGACAGTGTTATTTTTGTCGTCTTGTGAAATCAAAATAAACACCCAGGTCGCTCTTTTAATCCGGTCCTATTATAGTCCTTTTCATACGACTTATTTTAACTCACATCTGTATGTTATTTTGAGCCGAGGAGCGACGCAGCAGCTTCTCAGCAAGCATTAATCTTTTTTTTACTTCCGGCACGTGGAAAATTCCCGCCGCAAATGTCAGTCGGAAAAGATGGGCGGCGGGAGCGCTGACCCCGTGAAAGACGTCGGTTTTCGCTGTAACAACGCTCCAGCCGGTGTGAAAGTTTATTGTTTGATCGCTCTCACTCAGCAGCTGTGCATCAAGCGCCACACTGAACACAGAACGTAAACACGGCAGGTTTTTGGTGTGACTGTATGGGCCGTTAGGAGGTGACGGCTTATTACGCATGTAGAACAAGTGTCGCTTTGTTGAATATGGTGTAGAAGCTGAGGAGAGGGGGGTTCAGATTGAGGCTCAAATTAATGTCTGTTATCAATTCATTTATATTATATTTATTCAGTTTTTCAGATTGATGATTTAATCCATAAAATGACAGATAGGTTTATAAAACAGAGAAAAGCAGCGAAATTTTCCAATTTCACAAGTAGTTTAGCAGATTTCACAAAATTATTGTCAATTGCTTCTCTGTCAGGCAACTTATCAATAATTTTGCGACTCCTTTCAGCATTCAATGAGGCTCCATTCACTGTTTCTTTGTGTCTCGACTGCCAGAGTACTGCTTTTGGCTTTACAAAACAGACTTGGAACAACATTTGAATCAATAAACAGACAGTTCTTCATGAGGACTCCCACATGTCTGCTCTCATTATTCAGATATGGTCGGGTAAATTCAATGATAAGCCGCATGTCAGTGACAGACAGGTTTTTTCACCAAATTGGCTATTAGTATCAGATTCATTACTGTGATTGTCTCCGTTTATAGCCCTCATTACATTGTTCTGTCTGTCAATCTGCAACCATCTGGCACCTGAGCACGCCGAAAGAAAAAAAAAAAAAGAATGCATTTGCAAATACGGTTTGACCCAGGTCTGTGTAGGACACGGCGAGTGTGAGGGTTTTGTGCAATGTGCTGCAGTATTTGCAGGTCACGTCCGGAATCGGAACTAATCACAATCTGCCTTCGTTCGTTCTCCCGTCTTCTTCAGCCTGCCCTGTGGGTCAGTTCAAGTCGGGCACGGAGGGACAGTGCACCGGCTGTCCAGGATTCAGCCATGCCACCATCAGAGGGGCGTCGCTCTGTGCGTGTCGCTCCGGATACCTGCGAGCCGAGTCGGACTCTCCGGACTCCGCCTGCACTCGTGAGTATACATCAATGAGCACATGTGTAGGTGCTAAGCAATCAGTAACCTCACTTGTTCTCACACTGTTCCTACCTTTGCTCTTCTTTGCTTTGTTTTTGACATCTCTGGTGCTATTTCCTTTTTTTTTTTTTTTCCCCTTTGGTGTCATTTAGCCAGGCTCCTCCTAAGCTGCTTTGTGTCCTTTGTCCCTTTGCTGGTCATTGAGATGCATGTCTTTTGTGACAGGTTGTTGGGTGGGGGGTGGGGTTCTCTCTCTCTCTCTCCAAAGTGAAGTAGGCATTGATGGTCTGAAGTGACACCTCCATGCAGATTCAGGAATTTCAATTCAGCCACATTTTTTTGGATGTGTGAATGGGAGGGACTTTTTAATTAAGTGCACTCTTGGAATGGCCATGAAGAGGATGTCAAACTGTTGACAGTGTCTGTTCTCTACAGGTGTGATATAAACACCAACAAGAATGAGCATTTGCTAATAGTGATAATTTTAATTACAAAGGGTTTTATCTTAATTATTAATCACTTAATTAGGCCATTCCTATTATACATTCTGTATTGGTCTGGTCTGCAATTGTGCTCGTCGCATGTTTTCAATTTGCGTGCACAATTTCCACCCAACTGAGCCATCTGTACATCACGCAGGCCTTTTCGCCTGGAAATGTGTTTTACATTATTATGACAGCCTTGGTGATTTTAATAAAGTGGATTCTGATTGCTAAGACATAAAATGTATCACCTCTAAAAATCCTCATTCCCAAATGTTAAATTCAGAATTCATACGCGCCCAGATTGAGTGTGATGTTGCCCCACTTGGGTTTCCAATGAGAACGCCATTAGCACTTAAGTTAGCTGCAGGCTCAGTGACAAAGCTCTGTCTCCTTGGCAGGAACAGAAACTCATTCACAGTGCCTGAGTGGTCTTGCTGTTTAGTTATGCTTGGCTTGAGGCAATAGCTATCTTCTTACAATTTTCAGACGGTGATCATTATCATCCCGTTTTAGACAAACGTAATTGCACCAGTTAAATTCTGCAACACATATGCTCCTGCTGTGACGCAAAGCCACTGCAACAGCATTGTTCTGCTTCGTGACTACATGTGCAGACTGAATAAAAATGTCTTCAGCTCAGATCAGAAGCCATAAACAAATGGTCTATGTGGGTCATGAAAATGTAAAGCAGCGGTAAAATGACACAACAAGAGATCAGCAGAGAACTTTCATACCTTGTGATGACACCAGGGCTACGTGACACATGAAATTCATGATTCAACTTCCTTTTTTCTTTTTTTTTTTTTTTTTTACCAAATAATAAGTACTGGTGAAGGTGTTTAGTCATGGGGAAAAATAGAAGAATCATAATAGGTAATGTTGCTATAACAACATTGCTGAATCAGTCTGAGAGATTTGAAAAAAATTGCTGCACTTGAACCTGTCTGCACTGCGGCTGTTAGGATCAAAAACACTTCAACAAACTGTTTGGTATTTTGAGGTTTTCGCTTTCTTAAATCAATTCCATTGCCGCGTCTGTGAAGTAAATATGAAGAGGAAACTTCTGAAAGGTGTCAGATTAGGTGGGTCATGACACCATCCGATATGCAGATTGTATATCCTGGTTTAATGCTAAGCTAAGCTAACTTGTTTACACTCATTAAAGCAGCCTCAGACTTCTAATTCAATGCTTTTTTGTTTGCCAAAAACTCTTTACAATACAAAACGAGTTGTTTTTTTGGTCACTGTAGGAACTCCCTCGGCCCCGCGCAGCATCGTCCCCCAGATCAACGATACCACGCTGAGTCTGGAGTGGAACGAGCCTCTGGACAACGGCGGCAGAACGGACCTGAGCTACTCGATCAGGTGCTCCCTGTGCAGGTCACCCAAGGGACTGTGCATCCCCTGCGGAGACAGCGTCAGCTACCGGCCCGCGCAGGACGGCCTGCTGGGTCGCAGGGTGGAGGTGTGGGGCCTCCTGCCGCACACCACGTACACCTTCACCATCCAGGCGCTCAACGGGGTGTCGGAGCTCAGCGGCAAGGAAGCTGCCAGCGAAAGTGTCAACATCACCTCAAGCCACAACGGTAAGAGGTGGAGGGGGAAGAGGCAGAGATGAGAGTATAAACAGTCGGATTTTCATGTGGTGTTTATAATTCTGCTGCCATCTGCGCAGTGCCATCGCTGGTGTCTGTGATTCGGAGGAGCGACTCCACAGAGAGCAGTCTGACTCTGCACTGGTCAGTCCCCGCTCAGCCACACTACACCATTCTGCAGTATCAGCTGCGCTACTGTGAAAAGGTGAGAGCTCCCTGACAACATCTCTCCACTGTCTGGTCACATACTATTGAGTTTTTCAGGATTTTGTTTGCAGACACACTGTGGCTCAGAGGATTAGCGAGCTTTCTCTCACAGCGCAGATGTAGTAAACAGGGTGTGGCGTGGCTTTTATGGCTTTTATGGCTTTTCTGTTGTGGTTCTCCACTACTTTCTAAAAGCATACAGGTTTGGTGAAATGGGAACACAATTACCTGGAGGCTAATAATTGCCAAATAAATGCTTCCGTGATTTAGTAGTGTTAATGACATGTTGCGGTATAACAGTTCAAGACATGATCATCTGATTCATCTGGTTTCTGGGAATAATACTCTGAGTGTTTCTGTACCAACAGCTATGCCACACACAGTGGACATGGGCGTGTATTTGACATTACTGTGGCAGCGTTTGTGTTTTCTGCAAACCAAACAGCACTTCTTATCACACTACTGTGTACTTTTAATGTTCTGTGATTGGATTAAATGAAACTCCCGGTTTAGTTCAGGCCAGTTTGACTAAAGATAATTAAATCCCTGTAGATGGCCCTTTGGTGACTTTCTAGATAACTTTACTTTCTTTCGACAGGAGCGCCGCAGCGAGGATCAGTGCCGCTACACAGAGAGCAACAGAAACCAGGCTGTGCTGACAGACCTCCGCAGGGCCACACAGTACGAAGTGCAGGTTCGGGCCCGCACCTCAGCTGGTTATGGCAGCTTCAGTCCCGCAGCCATCTTCGGCACCCTCCCTGATGGTAAGAAAAGGTCTTGTTAGCTCTTGAAGAAGAGTCTCACACACTATTACTATTTTTTTTTTTTCTTTCCATCTCCACTGGGAAGTTCTTTCAGATTCTTTTCTGCATAATCAATCCCTGCACAGTTTCATATTATGAATTTATTGCCTGTGTCCTTGCATTGAGTTAGCGTCCTTGTGTTGAGCCTCTTTATTATTATGAATTCCTGTCATGTCCTCTTTTTTTTTTTTTTTTTCCCCTCTCATGCTTTTCTTTGCCACAAATGTAAACCTCCTGTCATGGCTTCTGTCATTATAATACTCTAACTCTCTCGCTTTCTGTCTCCTTTTCTTTTTTCTTTTTTTTTTCTCTGTCTCTTTTTGTTCGTCTTCTCTCCCAGGACATGACTCTGCCTCCCAGTTCTTGGTACCTGGCATCCTTATCGCTGTCGGGATGCTGCTGCTTGTCACTTTCGTCTTTGTGGCCGCCTACTGCATACGGTGAGAACGAAGGAAAAGGAGGGAGAGAGAGGGAGAGAGAGGGAGAGAGCGAGACAGGCAGAGAAAAAGACAGATTTGCAAGGGAAAGAAGCTGACAAAATAACAGGAAATGGAAAAAAAAGGAAAGGGGGAAATCGAAAACCAATAACAACCGCGACCCCAATTTTACAGTTTTGCACCACTTTGTTCTTTTGTTTATACAAATCATATCTTATCAGCAGTGGATTTGCACTCTGTTACCCACACCTTTTCTTTTTTTTTCTGTCTGTGAGGCAGTTCAGACACAAAGCAATGCTCATGATTTCTTTTGCTTACACAGCTAAAAGCTATCCTGCTCATTAGAACATTTTCCTTAGGCTTCATTGTTTGAGTAAATAGTGTTGGATGCCATCACAGGGAGAAACAGAGAGAGAGAAAGTGCATGAGTTTGTGTGTGTGTGTGTGAGAGGGATGACGATAGAGGTAGAGGGCAGGGAAAGACAGGATGCAGGCGCTCCAACCCTGTTTCCACAGGACAGGAGAACAATAGCTGTGACCTTGTGACACACACACACACACACACACACACACACATATATACACGCACACACAAACCAGTGACTGAGGCCCAGATCTGCCACTAACTGAGGGTGGTGCATTATTGCTATTTTAGGCTTATGAGGTGGGAGAGAGAGAGAGAGAAATGGAGGAAGGCACGGATCCAGTAGCTACAGGGTTGTTACAGTCTTGTAGGGATGAGTTTGCGCCAGCAGAATTATAATGGAGGCGCTTGTGTCAAAGAGCGGAACCATAGGGGTTGGCTCAGGTAGCCACCAGTACCACAAGCCACCGTGTGTTGTGTGTTTAAGATTGCCGAGGATTGTTTAGGGCCAACAAAAGCCTTGCACAACAATCAGTTTCTGTGTCAAAAGGGAAATAGAAATGATGGAGGTGTATTTTGAACATAGAGTACCTTCAAGATACTGTATCTCTAATGGCTGGAGGGCAGTTAGCTGAAGTGACCTCTGACCTCTCGGTGAATGAGGCCAATCTAGTCGACTATTGCCAAAGGGGATCACTAGAGAATCATATTTTGCTTTTCTTATTTGCATGCTAGAGTCAAATAATCATACAAAGTGTGATATTTGGCTCATTTATTTTTCTTTTAGTTTTGTTTGAGTCAGCGAGGCGGCGTGCTATTCTTATTGCATTTGAACAGCCACATTGTGAGCTCATTGATTTGCATCCCATTAGGCTGATAAAGCGTTAGGAATACTTGCCAAAGAAACAAAATCAAACATCCATTCTTCAGGTAACTGCACTGCCTTCTCTAATCTTGTTGTATTTATTCCGATCTCTTTCTACCTGCAGCCGGCACAGCCGAATAAAGGATCCAGAGCTGAGTGACAAAAATAGCCAGTACCTTGTCGGCCAAGGTAACAGATCAAGGACACGCACACTAAACCTCAGCTGTGATTTACAACTCATTCACGTCAGGGAAATCATTTTTAATGTGATCGGGCTCCGTGCTGCTCGTAGTTGTTTAACATTTCTTCTCTTTCCTTTCCCACGGCTCTGTTTGTCTTACTCTCAAAGGGGTCAAGGTTTATATCGACCCTTTCACCTATGAGGACCCTAACGAGGCAGTGCGAGAGTTTGCCAAGGAAATCGATGTTTCCTTTGTAAAGATTGAGGAGGTTATCGGTGCTGGTAAGCCCCGGCCATACGCTTTATCTATTATTAACAATTGCATAAACTTTGTTTTAGTCAACTCCTTCTGTGAGCTGTTTTATTTTTGGCAGAATGCTCTCTTTTGAAACAACATGATTAAAATTTATCTAATTTACTAAGTTAAATTGACTAACTGTCATTTAAAACTATTGTTTGGATTCTTGTTTATCAGCCGCAATTCAATAAGGCTGTGGAAATAAAGCAATTAACTGATAAATATGTTGCCAGTATTAGTGGCCCTCATTCAAACCAAAGGGCGCCACTAGCTGCGAGCAAGCTTTACATTTGCTAAATACAACAGTTATCCTCATAACGTGGCAGGAAACAGCGTTAATGTGCGTTTGTGTGTCTGTGCGCTGCAGGCGAGTTCGGGGAGGTGTGCCGAGGACGGCTGAAGATCCCAGGGAAAAAAGAAAACTACGTCGCAATTAAGACTCTGAAGGGAGGCTACACCGACAAGCAGAGACGGGACTTCTTATCTGAGGCGTCGATCATGGGACAGTTCCAGCATCCCAACATCATCCACCTGGAGGGAATCATCACGGCCAGCTGTCCCGTCATGATCCTCACAGAGTTTATGGAGAACGGAGCTCTGGATTCTTTCCTCCGGGTCGGTGTGACACAAAAAACACACACAACTGAAACACACCGTCTCTCAGCTCGCACACTTAAACACACCGTCGCGTCACTCATCCTCCAACTGAACTGTATCTCTCCTCTCTGTAGCTGAATGACAGCCAGTTTACACCCATCCAGCTGGTGGGTATGCTGCGCGGCATTGCCTCTGGCATGAAGTACCTGGCAGAAATGAGCTACGTCCACCGAGACCTGGCTGCCCGCAACATCCTGATCAACAGCAACCTGGTGTGCAAGGTGTCTGACTTCGGCTTGTCACGCTTCCTGCAGGAGAACTCCTCTGACCCGACCTACACCAGCTCTCTGGTGAGACCACAGCGCTCCTCAGTTAATGCTTAAGAAAGGAAGCCTTTCATTAAATCCATGTACAGTATGTCTGCCTGTAGGATGGTGCTCGTGCAAATCATCTTAAAGTGTTCATTTTATGGCTCCAGTGTGCAAATGGGAGATCTAGAGACTGATTTGACAAATAGATCCACTGATTATGAGATGGTTTAGTGTCTGCAGCACAGTAGCTGAATGTTGTCTTCATCAGTTTAGTTTTCACACAAGACTGAAGCACACATTGTATAAATGTTGAACAACGTTATTTACTCACATGTTTTACATTTGTGCAAATGTTATTTTGGTGTAAAAATGTATTATTTGGCATTAACCTGAAGTTGTTGTTTTACCCTCCTTTGCTTTAAATCTCCGAGGCCCCATCTGTCCATGTTTATGTGAAGATTTAGAGTGCTGACTGTTTGCTTTTCTGCGCAGGGAGGTAAAATCCCAATCCGCTGGACAGCACCGGAAGCGATAGCCTTCAGAAAGTTTACCTCTGCCTCAGATGTGTGGAGCTATGGCATTGTCATGTGGGAGGTCATGTCTTTTGGAGAGAGACCCTACTGGGACATGAGCAACCAGGATGTAAGTTTAAGCAAAACAAAAAACAAAACAAAAAAACATGCTGAGCCAGTCTCACAATGATTTTTTAAGGTTTTGACAAGCACAGCGCAAAGCCAAACAAAACTAAATTTAATATTTGGATTCTTAAAAAAATTGTTTTTCAGGTAATCAATGAAGTGTCAAAGTGATTCAGGGCAATTTTACCATCAGGATTTTCTGACTTTTCCCTCCTCTGTGTTTATTCTTTCTTCTTGTTTGTACCCTTGCTGAATTCTTATGCCTCCAAGCGGCTTGAAATTGATTTAAATACCACTTGGTTAATGCGTTTGTTTGAACAGTAATCATTTTTCTTCCTGTCAGGTAATCAATGCCATAGAGCAGGACTACCGGCTGCCCCCGCCGCCCGACTGCCCCACGCATCTGCACCAGCTGATGTTGGACTGCTGGCAGAAGGATCGCTCGGCACGTCCTCGCTTTGCGGACCTCGTTAGCGCTCTGGACAAACTGATCCGCAACCCTGCATCGCTGAAAATAGTGGCTCAAGAAGGAGCAGGGTGAGAACGCAGATGTGTTAAGTTACAACAGAATAGTTAGCAAAGCTGTAGCCAAGCAAAGAAAATCTTGTTTGACTGAAATCACAGCTACTCATCAACCAACTGATTGGTCACGGGGAAAAGAAATTTGCCCGTTATCTCAAGATGAACTAATTTGAATGTAATCAGTGCCTACAAGCCTTTTTGGTTTAAATGGACTATGAATAAACATGAAAACTACTATTTGCAGCATATTAAATCATTTTATACTAAAATGATAACAAATTTGTGCGTGCACCATATTAATATTTCTGCAAACAGACTTATATCAACTCGTGATGGCAACACAACCATTAAAGTTAAATTAAATATGCTACAGATGAGTTAGTTGACCATTTTTACCATGTGGCAGTCATGCTGTGATATGCAAAGTACATTTTGACCATCACTTTGAACAAACTGCAGCAACACCGCCAACTTTATTGGCGTGGCTTTAGTGATTTCGTAACAGATTCCCAGTGAATATTCAGTAAATGTAAAGTAAGTTAGTGAATCTAGCAATCTTCATTAAGCTTGCATGAGCTCAAAATTGTGTAAACACCCTGTTTTCCGCAGGTGGTCTGTTCCTCCCACCACCTAAAAAATGCATTAATCCTGGAAAGCTATTGATGTAAAGTAACACCTGCAGCTGTCCCACCACTGAGAATTTGATTGGATGACAGCATATCAACCAAACAGTCGACTTGGAGGCTGCAGCCCTAATAGCTTAAGAATGAAGCGAAGACACACAAGCATTCCTCTTCTTTCATAACGTGTCTTTCTTAGTGTCCATTTAAACTTCTGACAGTCACAGTTCAGACATTACCCTCCTACTGCCCAATCGTATACACCTTCTCAGTGTCCCGCTGTGACCTGTCAGCCACTTGCTGTGCCCATTTCCCTTCCTCCACATTCTGCCTGTCGGCTGGTCAGATACAGCAGAAGACTCTCCTCCCCTGACAAATCCCATTGTTTGTCCCTGTCAGTCACTCAGCCTCAGATTATACCTCTGCTTGTCAACTGGAATGTTGCTGCAGGATATATATAAAGCTCCTCACTGTTGTTTTGGTGGCGGTGTATGTAAGTTATTCTTTTGTCTGCGGACTCCGTCCCTTTAGGCCGTCCTACCCCCTGCTGGATCAGCGCGCACCTTTATCCCTTTCGCCGTGCGCTACAGTCGGGGAATGGCTGAGGGCCATCAAGATGGAACGCTACGAAGACAGCTTCCTGCAGGCCGGTTTCAACTCAGTCGACCAGCTGGCCCAAATTACCACACAGTCAGTTTCTATTTCCAGTTCTCTTATCTAAATTGATACTTATCTCATTTTCACTTTTCACTTCACACTTCCTGGCCACAAGGTCGGGGAGCTACAATCAAAGCTTGTAGTAGTAGTGACACTTGCAAACAGCCTAAATGTTGCTTTTATTTGAATTTAACTAAAAGAGAAAGTCCAGAGAACAAGCATTGGGTTCTTTTATTGTCCATTAAAACCTATCTTTCATTTTTTCCTGTCCTTCCTACCTAATTAGTGACTTTTTCCATCTGTTCAGGGATCTGCTGCACATGGGAGTGACTTTGGCCGGGCATCAGAGGAAAATCCTTTCCAGTATCCAGACAATGACCTTTCGGAACAAGAGCACCGCAACTGTGACCTTCTAGCAGACCTGCCTTCTACCCTGGACGTGAACACCAGCACACAGGTGCCGCCGTGTACTAAGAGCACTCTGGATCCTCTCCTGTGACCCACTTCGAACACAGACTCCAAGAGACGTCGGAGAGTTTATTCATGACCAACAACAAAAAAATAAATTAAAAAAGGCAAAAAAGAGAATTAAATCCACAGATAAGGACGACTGATGAGCGAGTCGTCCAGTGACCGTCAGGACTGAAGTCGTGCAGACTGACTTGGACTCATTTTTACAGTTTGCGGTCAGTGTTTTTACACCTGCCTAAGGTTAGGACTCGATACATGTGCCAAACCAAGAGGAGCGACAGACCAGAGTTTACACAGTTTCTGTAGTATCACGTCATTTCGAAAACAGGACAGTTTACTAGTGTGTTGTCCAAAATGTCACTTTTACCTTTCACCAAAGGAGACTAAAAGAAAAAAAAAAAAAGAAAGAAAAAAAAAGCCAATTCAAGATGTTTAGTTTTCGTATTGTGTGTAATTATGAATGAGAACTGCTTTCACCTTGGGTGTCTTGCATTAATCCATCTGGATTACATTAACGTCACAGACACCTTTCACATCAAGACCGAACATTTCAACGGTGGGATTCGACTTCTTTTTATTTCCCATTTGACTTCAACATTACCTCCTCTTTACTCAGGTGTGGTGTGTAATGCAGACTTTGGAGAGCGCTGTACTTGCCCTAATCAGACTCCTCTCATCTTCCACTGTCTGGCTTTTCCCTCGCCAGCTCAGCAACCTGCGAGGAGAACAAAGACACAGAGACATATCAGCACTTTTGTTGTTTCAGAGTGAATTGTAATCTTCAGTTAGCTCCATGTGTTTCTCTTGGAGTGTAGAAACTGGCTATTTCTACTGCTGGTGTTTCTGCTGGCAGCTCAGTTTTATTATAGTCAGACTGAACGAGGACCAAGTGGACTCAGAGACCAGAGAACACTGTAGAATTGGTTTTTCTTTGTAGAAATGTACCAAGGAAGCTATCTGGCCTCAAAACTTGTTTTTCTTGATATAACTGATACATTTATAATTCTCTTATTCTGTATTCTCCATCTTCCAGTGCCATTCATTCGTCTTTGTGGACTTAAATGCCAATTTTATAAAGCAGAAATCTCTCATGAGTGGATTCAATTTTGTCTCATTTAAATGTACCTTAAAGGGTTACTCTGACATTTGGAAGTTAAGTGTATTTTGCTTGCTGTGTAGTCAGCAGAATGTTCTCTGCCTTTGCCCCAAAGCAACACAAGAATGGTTTCTTAACATTTAGCGTGAAAAAAACAATTCACAACTAGCAGCTAACAGGCTAGCTTGTATACAAGACTGTCCAATTGGTTTCAGTGGGGAATGCTAACACTGTTGAGCTTCTGTTTTATTATCAGACAAGCAGCCTCACATTTTAAGCTGGGTGTGTCATTTTCCTTCATCTGATGCTGGTAAAATACTTTCCCAACAAACAACACAAAAGTATTCCTTATTTGTCATTTAACGTGGAAAATATTGCACAGCTGTCAGATAACAGGTATGTATGTTAGGCTTGTAGCCATGCGTATCCACTGGTTTCAATGTTGAATAAGGTTCAACATTGATAGAACACACATATATGTCCGCCAAAACAACACAAAAATAATCTTTATTTATCATTTAACATGAAAAACATTACACGGCTGTCAGATAACAGGCTAGCATGTACCCTGGAGTATCCATGGGTTTGAAGATTGAATACTAATAACTTCTTTAATTAGTAAAGTAGTATTTTCAGTTTAGATTGTTTTTTTTTTCATCAGATGTTGGTTGTGTGCTTTCTTTACAACCTTTACCTTTAAACGCAGCTCTCAGCTAATAGCTAGCAGGCTAGCTTGTAGCAAATTGGTTTCAGTGTGAAATGCTAAAAAGACTGTTGAGCTACTGTTTATTTATCACACAAGCACCCCTCAAATTTGAAGTTAAATGTATGATTTTCTTCATCTAATGCGAGTTGTGTGTGTTTTTTAGCGATGTTGATTAGCACAACAAACAGAGCTCAGCTAATAGTTAGCAAGCTAGCTTGTAGTCAGCATAGCAATACTGCAGTAGCTCCAAAACTACACAAAAATGGTTTCTTAAAATTTAACATGGGAAACAATACACAGCTATAAGCTACAAAATGGTAAACTACTACTACTACGGTCAACACAATGTTTCTGCTTTTGTCTCAAAGCTACACAAAAATAGTTTCTTCATGTTTGGTTTGGAAACCACTGCGTAGCTAACAGGCTAGCTTGCAGTCCATTGTATCCACTGGTTTCCTCTGAGGAATGCTAACAACACTGTTTGATGAACCTCCCACAGCTCACGCCGTTATTAAAGTGCTCGTTCAAGAAGAATAGCTGACCAGAGTTCAAAATGTCAAAGTTTGCTCAAAGATTTTGCATTTGTTAAAGGATTACATGAGCCCTTTTGACATTTAGGTCATGTTTAATTTTCCCGGGGTAGCTCACAAACCTGAGGAGCATAACACCACTTTCTAAATGCTTTTAAATTTGTGCCATTGGACACTTTAGCCAAAAAGTTTCTTCTAAATGCCTTGTGTTTTTAGTGTTTTTGATTTTTTCTGAGAAGCTTACTGCTCTGCATTACAAAAAAGAAAGTGTTTTTCCTGATAAGAAGCAGCACCAGTGGAACCAGCTTTAGCACCTTGGTGGTGTTAACATGGCATAGCTGTTATATGTGATAATTCTGTTTGGTTTCAAGAGGTTTAAAGTGCAATTTCTCTTTCCTGCATTCAAAATTGAGTCAAACATGCTGATTAAAATTGATTCACATTTGGTTATTGCAAACCAAAAGTGTAGTGCTGGTTAGGTCCTCACGTTGATTCCTAATGATTTTCGGGCAGTAGTAGATAAAAAAAAAAGATACTCGCGTGGTTAGAAATGATCCATTCCCTCCCTTACTGTAAATATATATTAAAAAATAACAGGCCTTAGTCAGAAGCACTGGTACTGTCATGCAAGAGACTGACACATTCCTTGAAATATGATGGGAAATGTAGGCTTCATATTGAAGATCTCAATAAAAAAAAAATCGACTTTTAAATAGAAAATACATCAAATACTTTTTGTTTACTATCGTGTGTGTAGGCTGGTCGGGATTCATAATAAAGATGCACACCAGTGTTTACCATCAAAGACTCGGTTCTGAACTTATTACCATGTCATGTGGCCTTTGTGGATATTTAGACATCAAGTCATTCTCGCCATAAGTGATGCATGAAAACTGCATAAATATACACTAATGTCATTGTGTGGACATAGTAGAAGTTCATATGTGACCTGAAGTGAAGATCCACCTGTCTCTGGTCCAAAACCTTCTCTCCTGAACTCACAGAAAATCAGCTCACAAAGCCACTACATCTTTACACAAAAAAAAGAACACCCTGATGTTTCTCGATTCATTTGAACCTCTAACTTTATTCCACTGCTAGTAAATGTGAACTTAATAAATGGTTCTTGGCTGTCTTGTTTCTGTCTTTGGTTAGATAATGTGTTGCCGGAACTGTCTGAGATCATGTAAGTAAAATGTCTAAAGGGGTGTTTGGGGTTTTTTTTCGTCTGTTTTCTTTATGGCTCTTGTTGCAAACGTGCCTCTCATCTATCCCGCCAACCCATTTTTTCTTTAATAATGAGAGAGAAACAAGAGACTGGAATGAGTAGAATAGAGTCTCACTCCCCCTTCATTTCCCAGTGTTGCTTTCCAGAAGCCTTTACTCCTTCGCCTTCTGTTTCTCCAGAGAGCCTTTACCCCTGAGGGCTCCAAGCTTGTCCTCCTCTATGTTTCCCTTCCTGGTCCTCAGCCCTTTTAATCATGAAGAGATGTTCTTTTCTTCTCCTGTGCCTTGGGCTGAGAGCAGCTTATAGCGCAGCATAAGCTTAAACTCTCTCTTACACACTCTCACACACACACACTGTTCTCTCCCATCTCCAAAGCTACCATAACCAGGCTTAGCTGCCAGGGCTTCAGAAAGTGTTTAGGTTCATTGATTAATGTACTTTGATTATCTCTGTGTTACTGACTCATTCCTCTTCTTCTATGACTCTCGTGTGGCCCACAAAGTATAGACGTGCACGAGCAGAGATAAATAAGAATGAGTAACTGTTACTGTAAGCATGTTTTTAGGTTGTTTTTTTATTTTTTTCAACCACACATTGTGTTTTGGAGCACACGAATCTCAATGTCAGACTATTTCAGTGTTTTAAAGAGAGAGACAGGCATTCATCTCTGGTTTCTACTTCTGTCAGTGCTTTGAGTGACCCTTGACCTCGCCGTATAGTACAAATCTAGCCGGAGCTTTGTCTGCGTCTCTGAATGGCCATTCATTAGGACTGCTGTTGGGCAGAGAGCAGACCAGGCCAACCAGGTTTTTTAGCATTCGGTGGATTGTGTCATTCCCCCTCGCATTCCTCTGTGCATTCAAGTGTGGAGAGGCTGTGTGTGTGTGTGTGTGTGTGTGTGTGTGTGTGTGGGTGGGTGGGGGTTAACCATAGGGACAGGTACATGTGTGTTTGAAAGCAAGTGGGGCAAAGGAGGGAGGTAATCTGAAATGGTTTCACCCTGCTTGGAGCCAAAGAAAATCAAAGTGTGATCCTGCATCAAATGCGTATTGTTAAAAGTGTAGACCAGCAGTAGTGTTGGACTCCCATAAAGTCGGGGCACTCACAAGACCGATTTTTTTTAGCAAAAATGGTCAAATTCAAAACAACTGAGGCTGAAATGCTTCGAATCTTAGCTTCTAGTACGGGTCAAAAACACTGTATGGCCCTATTTGCATGATTGTTGTATTCCATTCCTCTTCGTGGATCTGCGGCGATGCTTTGATTCTCAACAGTAGCGTGAAGATGGAAATTTGGGTTTGAGATCGTCATTTCTGTGACACTCTCCCTTCGCTTCAGGTGCCAGATTTCATCCCTGAGATGACTTCCAGACAGTTTGATCAAAATGGCCCAATATATCTGAGCAAATCCACCAAGCAGCCCGCTAAGATTATTTTTCACCTGTGTACGCAGCGTGATTGTGCTGAAAGATGGGAGCCACATTGCTCGGCAGAGCGCTTCCACTCTGTTTCGTATTAAATCTGATCACTGGGAAAGTTGTCACTCTTCGCCGCTCTACAGCATATCTGTTGACTTTGCAGGAGCTTGTGCCAGGCCATCGCTGTAAATAAGAATTTGTTCTTAGCTGACCCACCTGGTCAAATAAAAGTTGTAAGAATTTAATTATACTTTGCTGCTGCAGTGCAGTTTTATGTGGAATTAGGCTGCTATTTTTCATCATCTGCTTGATCCACTTAATCAATGTAAACCTTTAGATTACCGACCCCTGCTGTCTCCTCAGTGTTATTATTGATGTAGGGGAGTATTCAAATATTGTTATATTATCTACTTCCAGGCTGTCGCCTTCACAATTAATTATTTTGGTGGAATCTCAATTTATTTCAAACTTCTTAAATACTAATTAATAACATATTTGTCCAGAGCAGCAGATATAGATCCATGTCTGGCCTGCTTCTTTGTGCATTTGTTTACTCATAAAAAATGATTATTCATAAAGTCAGATCACTTCTATTATGACTCCTCAGCCATAAATGATATATTTAGTGCCCTCTTCTCCTTCACCAGGCTTCAGAGAACAGACCACATGCTTGATGGAGTTATTAGCAGGATGAGGAATGTGAATATGGACGTCAGCACCTTCAGGACAAGCGCCCGGTGGCTCCAAAGGTGTTTGCAGGTTCCTGCTCTGTCTCAGCTTTCAGCAGCCATCCATCTCCCCAGTGGCACCCTTTTGTTTTCCACTCTGCTAAGATGTGCTCCTTGCCTTCTGTGAGGAAATGAAAGGAGTGTGACCTTCCCATTCCTTATCCTCTCCGTGTGAATCACCCCATATTCTGAAACTCAATCCACATGCGTCAAGGACCACTATGCTAGGGGGGAATTAAAAAGTAGGGGAAAACTATCAAATAGCTCTGAAGAAGAAGTAGTGAGGCTTCAAACGGAGTGTCTGAAGAAGGAGGAAAGTTCATGAAAAGGCCAAGACTAGAAGTGGCAAACATCTCCGGTTAAAGATGTTTCTGATCAGTGTGACTGATTGGCGTTGTGAACTCGTCTTGCTAAACTCAGATTGATGAGTTTACTCTTCAGTGTTGTGCTTAACCTCTCGCTCGGGCTTCACCTTTATGTCCTAACTCAACCCAACTCCTCCACACCTCTGAACTCTACGACGGTAAATCTTCACCATCAATTGGAAAATGCCAAGAAGTCCCTACGAACTAACAGCCTTCTCCTACTGACCACCAAGGCATTTTTGAGGTTTGATTTAATCAGGACAGAAGTTTGTAGAAGTTTTTGGAGGGGGTTGGAGAAACTACAAATCAAAATCAGCTTTCGAAAAATCCCAGGGTTGCTTTTATTCTGCCGTCAGTTTTGTCTGTTTGCTCTGTGTTTCGTGATTACAGTGAACGCTGCTCTTTATATTTGTATTGTGGCCGTGGCTGTTTACCATAGCTGGATGTTTCTGCTTCTTTTTCCTACGTTTAAATTATAGTTTGCCAACCGATCGCCTGAATTAGCCGGCTAAGTGTTTACCAAGCAAACGAGCAATAAAAACAGAACGTCCAAATAAACGCACATGTGAGTGGTACCACACTGGGAACAGATTTTGCTCTGAAATGTAAAATCTCTCTTCCACTTTTTTTGGGGGGGTTTCATGAACGTATCCCCTCCTCCTCACACACACACACAGCAGGACGACGGATGAAAGCACCCCACCCTCAAACCCACTGTTTTCTGCCTGCCTGGCAGTCCATCAGAAATGTCGATTACGCTGTAAAAACATGACCACTCACGTTTTGCACTGACCCCGTGAGTAAACGTGGTTTTTCTGGGCTCACATTGCGACAATACGGAGGGCAGCGAGGGCCCATGTGTGTGTAGAGCCCACTTAGAAATATGAGTAAGGAGCATATGGTTATGATTTCAGCAGCATCTGGACGCAATACAGCATGGTTTTTCAAAAAAAAAGTATAAAGTGCGTGTTGGTGAGTGAGTGCAGCATTGAAAGTAATCAGATTACTAGAAATCAAGAAACTGGAAGCCTCTCTAATGTAACACAAGTCATGAGAAGGAGCAATGACCACCACCCATCTCCAAATACATAACAAGCAGAGTAGAAAAAATCACTCACACACACTCAGTGGCTGTGTTTACTGTGTGAAGGGCTCCCTCTAGTGTGCAGAAAGTGTAACTTCTGTTTATCCTCATACTAAAGGAAAACAGGATTTCCTTTAAATGACGTTTATAATGACTCAGAAGCACAGACTCAATAAAATAAAGTTTATTAGGAGCCTAAAATATGAAACACGCCCCGACAATCTGCACATCAAACGTGCATTGCAAGGCCACCGTGTAGTGCAGAGACGCAGCAGTGCGCACAGGGTCTCAGCCTGTTCCTGATCCGACACGAGTCCAACTTTCCCCTCGCAAAAAACCTGCTGTCTGCAACGCGCCTGCAGCAAAGCGTTTTACTGCCTGATTAGTTTCGTCTGTCACGGTCTGAAGAAGCAGCAGCACCGTGTGCAGCCTGCGCCACTGTCTGGACAGAAGCTGAGGGAGGCTCAGGAGGGTCCTTAGATCTCATCTGGAGTCAGACACAGGCCGATCTGATGGCTGCACGGCTGTGATTCTCGACGTGTTAAGAGGTGTGCGTTCATCTAATAATGTCTGTCTCCTGGTCACACATCGCATGCAGCGGCAGTCCACTCGGGCTAATTATAGTTTGGCGCTGATGTGACTCTGCTCCACTCGGTAACTTTGGATCAGCGGCACCGTGATTCAGCGGCGCTGCTTTGTCGCCTCCTAGCGGCGATGGAGGGCTGTTGCAGGCTGAAGGAAAAGCAGAGTCATGTTTCACAGGAGGCAGAGGAGGAGACACCCTTCCTCCCAAAATGAAGCCCTGCTGCTGTGTCTCTACAGCTAATGCAGAAGTGACATCTGATATTTGATGAGAAATATATTATCTTGATGTTTTCTCCCCACTTCTTTGGGAGGAGGTTGATTTTGCTATTTATATCGCAGGACAACAACAACAGCTGTTGAACCAATGAGCTTTCCATCAGAGACACAAGATTGATATT